CGCCCGCCGCCTGCTTCGCGGGGCCGCCGGCCGCGCCCGCCAAGGCCAAGGCCAAGAAGGCGGTGGACAAGCTGAGCGACGAGTACAAGATGCGGCGCGAGCGCAACAACATCGCGGTGCGCAAGAGCCGCGACAAGGCCAAGATGCGCAACCTGGAGACGCAGCACAAGGTGCTGGAGCTGACGGCCGAGAACGAGCGGCTGCAGAAGAAGGTGGAGCAGCTGTCGCGAGAGCTCAGCACCCTGCGGAACTTGTTCAAGCAGCTGCCCGAGCCGCTGCTGGCCTCGGCGGGTCACTGCTAGCGCGCCGGGGGTGCCGTGGGGGCGCCGCGGCCACCGTGGGCACCGTGCGCCCTGCCCCGCGCGCACCTGCCCCGCGCGCACCGAGGCCACCGTGCGTGCCCCGCGCGCACCTGCACCTGCACCGAGGGGGCACCGTGGGCACCGCGCGCACGCACCTGCACCGCGCACCCGGTTTCAGGACTTGATGCAATCCGGATCAAACGTGGCGGAGCGCGTGTGGACACGGGACTGACGCAACACACGTGTAACTGTCAGCCGGGCCCTGAGTAATCACTTAAAGATGTTCCTGCGGGGTTGTTGCTGTTGACGTTTTTGGTTTTTTGTTTTGTTTTTGTTTTTTTTTCTTTTTGGTCTTATTATTTTTTTGTATTATAAAAAAGTTCTATTTCTATGAGAAAAGAGGCGTATGTATATTTTGAGAACCTTTTCCGTTTCGAGCATTAAAGTGAAGACATTTTAATAAACTTTTTTGGAGAATGTTTAAAAGCCTTTTGGGGGCAGTAGTTGGCTTTTGAAAAAAATTTTTTTCTTCCCTTCTGACTTTGGATTTATGCGAGATTTTGTTTTTGTGTTTCTGGTGTGTAGGGGGCTGCGGTTATTTTTGGGTTGTGTGTGGTGGTGGGTGGGGGTGTCGCATCTGGGTTTTTCTCTTCCCCCGGCAGATGGAGTGCCAGCCCCTCCCCCCCAGGAGAAGGAGCAGAGTGCTGGGTCAGGAAATCAGGGTGACTCAGCACCCATGGGTGCTGGGGACCTTGCTAGAAACCCTGCTTGGGCCCGGTTGCCTCTGGGTGCCAGGCTTGTGTTGGGGACCAGGCAGGCAGTGACTACTGTAGGAAGGGCTGGTCCAGACAGCCCCGGTCAGGCAGGTGTTTTGGTAAGTACCATGTACAAAGTGCTGTGTGTTTGGTGCTGCAGAAGGGCGTTTGCACGTCTGTCTGAGTTGTATGTCCCCGTGTGAAGAGAGACGGGTCTGAGTGGAGGGTGCAGGGGACAGTTCCTACTCTGCTTTCCCTTCCAACCCAGATGGGACAAGGAGCCTCCCTTGCCTGGCTCAAGGTGGCTGAGCCAGGACTTGAACTCAGGTCCACCGCTCAGACTCGCCGGGGCAGCACTGATTGCCACAGCCGGGCTGCATTAGTGAGAGTTGAGAGTGTCCAAGGAGCAGTGGATATGCCGTGTCCTGCCGTGCCTGGCACGCCAGAACTGTTACATAAGCATTTGTTCTTGTTATTATTTTTGATGGGAGGCTCCTGGCATTTGGCTGTGTGAGTGTGGAGCGCCTGCCCTGGCCCAGTGTCCTGCAAGCCCTGGGCCTGTCCGTATCTCCTTCAAGCCTCATGGAAGGTGGGCACTCCTGTGTCCTTTGCTTTGTGGATGTGAATGGCTTGTGGTTGTCAGGTCCCTGTGAGCACCCTGCCCTGAGGAATTCTGGGTAGCGGGTAACAGAGCAGTTTGCCAGAGGCCTAGAGGAGCCTGGGGTCTTGGGAATGACCAGTGACACTGTGGCTCGGGAATAGGGAAGGCTTTTTCTTCCCTTTCTCCGTGGGAACCTGCCGTGTTGGGACTGGTGACCCTTGGTCTTCCACTGTTACAGGGCCAAGGGTGAGGCTTTCTCCGCCCCTCTAATGCTAAAGTAGCTGGAGGCCTGTACAGACCCTCAGACACTTGGCTTCCAGTCAGCTCCCTTCCAGGCCTAGATAGGCACTTGACCTGGTGGGCCCTGGAGCCAAGGTCAGTGCAGCCCCATGGTCCAGTGTCCTGATGACTTTTATCTACGCCAGTGGCTGTCGGTCAGCTCTGATGCTCCAGGATTTAACCTCTTAGACTCAAAGCCTGGACTAGACCTGAGAGGTGGGGGAGCGGGGAGGGCTCCATCTTTCCAGGAATGGAAAACTTTAATGTACCTGTGCGGCCAGGCTGGCCTTGCATCCATTTCTCAGCATAAGTCACAGACGTGAGACTTCCACTCAGGTAGAAGGGCAGTCTGCACGGAGTTTGGGGTTGGTTTGTAGTCCTGTCCCTACCCCCAACCCCTGCCCTTTATGGAAGTTTCATTTCCTGGCCCCAAGATCAGGTACCCAACCCCAAGTTGTAGCACAGACTGGAACAGAGCGGGAAGGGGGTGTGACCCAAGGCTCATCTGATATCTCTGGGATTGGGAAAAACAGTAAGCGTGTCAAAGGCTTTGCCTGCCGTCCATGTGGCCCAGCGAAGGAGCCCTGTGGATAGGAGATGTCACAGATGAGGTGACACACCCCACAGATCCGGTCACCAGGCCGCCAGGGGTCAGGGATTGCCCAGAAGAGGGACCAGCTGGACCGAAAGCCTGGGGGCAGAACGGCAAGATGGGGAGAGAACAGCGGCTTGAAGGATGATTCCGGTGGGGGGAGGGGGCAGCTCACAGAGCTGAAGTGTCTCTCCAGGCCCTTGTCACGGGTGGGCTGCTGGGTCCTCCCGCTGCCAGGGCTCGTCGGCCATATTGCCCACAGCCCCACGGAGTGGTGGTCACAGCTGAGGCTCGCCTGCAGGTGGGGGGGCGGCCAGCGCCCTCCCCACGCCTGCTCAGGATGGGGGCGTTCACAGAATGTACTCTCAGCTCATTGTCTAATGCAGCCAACCCACAACCCGGTGACTTTACCCAGGAGGAAAGTGGGTGTCAGGAAGGGAAGCTGGAGGCGTGGGTGCCCGCCCTGCGTGGAGACCCCACTCGCTGCCGGGATCGGCTCAGCCTTGGTCGCAGCTTCGGCTGCGGGATTCTTCTGCCTGGCCAGGAAGCTCCGATCGGGGAAGTGACTTGTCCAAGTTTGCGCAGCTGGGAAGGGTAAAAGTTGGCATGGGAGCTGGCGTTGGGGGGGTCGCGTCTCCCAGCCATCTGAGGAATGTTCCCCTCCCCCACATCCGGTTCAGACTTGTTTGCCCTTCTCCTCTTAGATATTTGTTTGCCCGGTTCTTTTTCATGTATGTGACAATCATTTATTGAGCACCAGCTGTATGCCAGCTCCCATTGCTGGTGCTGGAGTTGGGTGGTGACACAGAGTGACCATTAACAAGGAGAGAAGGACACTTAAATCCTCAGCCACTGGAACAAGATAATGACAGGTGGGATGAAGACTCCTAAGGAAGAAAAGTGGGGCAGGAAAGGAGCAAAGGGCAGGGAGGAGCGGGAGGTCCCTGAGGGCTTCCGAGAGGAGGTGTCTTCCTTGGGCTAGCCTAAGCTAAGTGGAGAGCCCAGGATACTGTGTGCTTCGTTTATCAACGATCCCCCATGAGACCAGCCCTGGCTCCCACCTCCTTTCCCGGCACGGGGGAAGCCGGGCACAGGCAGTCACTGTCCCCAGAGCTGCTGAGCCGATACAGTGAGATTTGACCCCCAAAGCTCACCACCTGCCCTGCTGTGACCTCTAACTGTCCCCTCCACCCTCGTAGAGACCCCCCACCCCCGCCCTGTGGTGTCCCACCAGCCACTCCTGCTGTGGGGTTTCAGATGTTGCTATTGGGTGAGGGCTTGCTTGGGGCTGGGCAAAGCAGGGGAGGCCAGGGTGGGCCAAGAGCTGGTGACCCAGCCCTTCTTGCGTCCTCTGAGGCAGTAGCCAGGAGCCCTGTTTTGTGATGTGTGGGGACCCAAGGCCTTTCACGGGAACATTCTTTTCTCAAGGAGCAGTTTGGCTTTTTTTTTTTTTTAATCCAAGATTATGGGGTAATTTAGAGGTACAGGATTTGAATGGGATTTAAACCAAGCTGGGAGCTGTGGTAGGTGGAGGGTGGCTTTGCTGTCGATAAAAAGGTGGGCAGTGTGTACGTGTTGGAAACCACCTACAAAGTTCCCTGCCGGAGGACCAGAGCTGACGGAGCTGTGTTTGAACCCAGGTCAATTGGTAGGTAGGTCAACAGGCCTGGCCCTGCCACGGGGCTGACCACAGGTGCACACAACCTCTGAGGGGTGAGGGGTGTGCCAGGATCCATGGCTCTGAGCTTGTCTCCTGCTGGCTGGAGACATCAAGGAAGACTTTGGCCTCTCTGTGCTTGGCCTTTTGCTCCACGGACAAAGAGTCCATCTGGTCAACCAGGGTCAAGCAAACGCTGCCGCAGGCCCAAAGTGAGGGGAGCCACATGCTAATAGAGACAGCATGTCGAGTGATCCCTGGTGGGGTGGCACATGCCTGTTACCCCAATACGTGGGAGGTGGAGTCAAGAAGGTCAGGAGTTCAAGATTATCCTCGGCTACATAAGAAGTTTGAGGCTAGCCTGGGCTACATAAGACCCTGTCTCAAACTCCTGAACCCTCAAAAGGAAGCAGTAACAAACTGGTACATTCATTCAAACAGTGATAACAGCCTTGAGAAAATAAGTCTGGGGAGTGAGTGGCAGAAGGTAATCGAGGAGGGGCCTGAGGGGGGCAGTCAGCAGGTGCAAAGGCCCCGAGGGGTGGCAGCGAGGGCTGGAACTGGCAGAGGAGGGTGGTGGGTTCTTTCGGCAGGGCCTCTGAGGCCGTTTGAGGATGACTGGGTGTCCCTGCCAGAGCCTGGCACCCACACAGTCCTTGATAAGTCTGTTGACGAATGCAGCAGGCCCCTCGGCCCTGGGGGCTAGGTAAAGAGCAGTGGGTGAAGGAGCAGAGCTCCTGCCTGGCCCAGGAGCCCTGAGGGATTCGAGCCTGTGACCCAGGGCCTGGAGCCATTTGAGCTGAGCCTTGTGCCAGGCAGGAAGAGGGGCCAGGCTGGCCAGGAGGGACGGGAGGAACGAAGGCTGAGAGCCAAGCAGGGGGGGGGGGCAGTGACTGCGGGACAGAGGGCAGAGATGGGCAAGACTGCGGAGGGAAGTCGGGCCTCCTGTGGCCTCAGGACTGGGGGACAGGCAGGAGGCTGGACTTCCAAGAGGCATCTTGTTTTTATTTAATTTCCAGAGAATTACTAATGTGGAGTACTAATAAAAGAAGGAAGTCAAAAGCACCCATGATTTTAAGACCCAGAAATAAACCTGTTAACTCTTGCTGTGTGGCC